CATTCAGAAGATTAAGTACAATCAGTAATAGTACAGGTTCTGCTCTTGGCGAGAACGTTTAAACGAAAAAGCAGTGAAAAGAATTGAACGTATTCTCTCTCTCTCTCTCTCTCTCTCTCAAGCTCCCTGCAGCCATTCGTTGTAACTCGAAAACGTTTCCCGATAATTTCTCGCGTAGGGCGTATTACACGATCGTGCATATTCCTGCGGTTTAAATGCTTTCGGGGACACTCGAGAATCTATTTATGTACTCTGTGTACTTTAACACTGTGAACTAGATATCTACGTTCACGGTAAGAAGGATATTTTAAAAGGACGTTCTTCCTTATCGTTAAATTCGTGCTATTTTTTCTTTCTCAAGAGAAACGCGAACGTTCAGCTCTCCGTTCTCTGGAAAAAAAATAATGTTAATATATATATATATATATATATATATATGGATATTCATCGGCGATAGAAAAATTTTCCTGGAAATATTCTCAAATAAGTTGATTCTTTTTTTACCATACAAATCTTTTGGCTCACGAAATTGGCCATATTTTTATTAAACGTTTTCTAAAGGAAAAAGACTCATATTATGATTATATACAAAAGTTATCGGCAAAATATGAGGAGATTTCTCTCTCGTTTCTTTTTCTTTCTTTTGGGTTCATTTTTTTTTTTTTCATCGGAATTTTCCTCAACCGGAAAAAATCACGCAATCAACGAGTTTTCTTTATTATTTTTGTTTCTTTTTTTCCTTTTCCTTGTCCACATTTTTTATAAACACGATATGCACGATGAAAGAAGAAAATTTCAACGTTTTACTTAAAAAAAAAAAAAAAATCGTTCAATAAAACTCGTACGTAAAATGCACACGTGGATACGTAGATAAATGCATTCATTCACATATACATTATCAATATTATGTAGTAACTTCGTGGGTCGTAGAAAATCGAAATGTTTGGTATAGATTTTACTTAACGGAAGCACCGTCAGATACGGGCAAATATTCGAGGCTTATGACGCAGATATATTTGATAAAAGAGAAATCGATAAAAATATGTGAGCATACCAAGCAGAAGGGAGTAGATGTATATATATACATTCGAGGCCATCATCGACTTCTTTTTCTTCAACGACTCACTATAGAAATTCCCTAGATACACGAATATTCCTATACGCACATTTTGCGATTACTTGGGGGAAAACTAAAATGTTACTCCCCCGATTGTATTAACGTTATAAGCGATCCTTCATGCGTTCCATTGAAAATTCCTTTCTAAAGTGAACAGGTTCTTCTTCATAGTCAATAAAGAGACCAACAGAGATAGTTAGAGAGAGAGAGAGAGAGAGATACTACGATATTTTGATGCAATATCTTCTATAAAACAAAAACAAAATGAACAATTCGTCTTTTTATAAGATACGAGATTGTGTTCATAAAATAATATGTTGACACACACTTGAAATAAAATCAACGATTAATGTATTATTCAAGAAAAATACAATTATTTCATTTAACGTTTCTCTTTTCTTTTTTTTTTTTTTTTATTAACGATTAGTTAAAACTAAGATTTGTACGAAAAAACGATTTCCAATTTCCCATAACATTGATTCAACCGGCTTTCGAATTTTTTATAAAAATAAAATTTAATTAACGTGGTAACAAAAAGATATCAATATACTTATTTTAAAATTGTTCAGTTTATTTAATATTTATGGAACTCGAAAAAGAAAATAAAATTTACTTCACACAAAATGAAATAAATAAAAAAAAAAAAAGAGAAAATATCCACGGAATATAAATTATAAATTACTTTTACTGCAATATTATGTTTGCAGCAAAAACGATTTCAAATCGAGATGTGTAAGGTTTTTAATTAAATAATTAATTTATTCATATTAATTTTATCATCTAAAACCTTTATTTTTAATTTAAATTTAAATGAATATTTTAAGAAACCAATATTTGAATTTAGGGAATTAGTTAAATACAAAAATCGGCTTTAAAAGTTTCCTTTTTTTTCTTTTTTTTTTTTTTAGTAATATAATATTTGATAAATTCTAAACCAAAAAAGGAATAAAAAGATATTGCAAGAGACACATTTGAGGATAGATAGAGAAAAGAGATAAACAATAAAAGAAGATGCTGAGTCGAAGGAAAACCTTTCGTATTATCGCGTTGGCATTTTATCGGAGAATATCTCGACAATTTTGTCAGGCTCATGTAAACGTCCCCTTTATCAGTGGATCGTATCGACTCGTATATACATATATATGTATACATATGTATACGTGTGAGTATTTATGTACTTCGTATATATTATGAGGGCTTCGTCTTACAAGCATCGACGTGTTGTAGCTTCAAATTAATCCTATCTAACATAACTCGACTATCATGTAGGACAATAAACGAGCTATCAACATAAATATTAATGTCACACAATGTAAATTAACATTTATTTAATAGAAATGTATTATCACGCTTGTTTCCTAGTATATTTATATAAATACAAATACAAATTACAGATAAATCTAATATTTGTATAAACGAATCTATTAAATTTTTTGGCTCATTCAGACCACTGTTACAATTTAACAGCATAATTATTGATACGTGTACTGATTTTTTACTTACATTTTCATTTAAACGAATCTCTTGTATTGTATTTTTGTTAAAATCATAGAAAAATCATAAAAAAAAACACACATTTATACCTAGATATTCGTTTGGAACGGTTCCCAATCGTTATACAGCAGGAAAAAAAATATTTATATAAAAAATGTAATTGAATCCGTTGAGAAGGCTAGGAAAATTTCTTTGCTTTTTTCAAATGAAAACGAACGAACGAACGAACGAACGAACGAACGAGCGAGCGAACAGCGGACGAAGCTTCAGCCGTTTTATGAAGGATCGAGTTAGTTCTTTGTATGGATATCGCGTAGCGATATTGCGCATGCATAAAGTGGAACTTAGTTAGCATTCGTTTATGTAAAACGCTCGTCCAATGGCCTCCGATACTTATCCGGCCAACGAAAAAGCTGAATTAGTTGGCTTCCCCTTTTCGATAAAATCACTTAAAACTTGTGCCGAAGTGGATAGGATGAATGAAAAAAAAAAAATAAGAAAAAAAAAAAAGAAAAACAAAAAGAAAATAAAAAGAAAAAAAAGACGAAACATAAAAGAGGGAAAGAAAAGAAATAGAAATAGTAAGAGAAAGAAAGATAGAAAGCAAATTAAAAATGTTAATTCCGTTGGAAGCCTGCCGATGAGAGGATTACCAAAGCGTAACAGAGTTCGGAAGGAAAAGAAATCTCTGTCACGACCTCGAACGTTCTCTTTTGGAAATTTCAACGACGATAAGCCGATTGTAGAAGCCGGTCAATTTGAACTACAAATTGGGTCGTTCCTAGATCGACGTCACACATTCGCGTGTAAAATGGTGAACGTCAAGGATAATTAGGGTGTCGGAAGAAAGAGGATCAGAGAGTGAGAGTAAGAGGACCCTTCCAATGAGAACAAGAGGATGGGAATAAGAGGAATGACAACTATTCGCAAGTTAGACTTTGCCCAAAGTTTGACTTTGAGTCTCATCGATGAAGGTAATTTAAATCGCTAGCCTGGGATAGGGTAGCTAACTTACTAGCTAACTCAAAAATCGTCAAATTCTTTAACTCAGTCTAGTAATACGATTCTACCGTTTCCCTATGAACGAGAAATAGAGTGAGATCGTCGTAAGACGTTAAAGAAAATCCATTAACAGTAACAACGCGGAACAACGTACCTCCTCGAACTTGGACGACTCGTAATTTCCTTTACGCTTATGCGAACCGATCTTCTCAACGAACTTAAACTTTCCAAAGGAACTTTTCTCAAAAGTTTCTCTCTCTCTTTCTCTCTCTCTCTCTCTCTCTCTCTCTCTCTCCATTTTATAAACTTTTATTTGCCTTTTTTTTAACTTTAACTCGGTTGGTCAATGGAAAATATCCAAATTTTTACTATTTTATGCATAAATATAACGGGAAAATTAGGCCAATACAATACAATGCAATACCGTATTATACTGTTGGAAACCTGAATGCAGCTGTGCTACTCTACATTCCTAGGTTAACCAATAAATAATATAGCTATTTTTCATATTTTACATCTAAACGTATCTGTAGTATATTTTTCAAAATATTGGGTCAACATAATGCACAGGTGTATTCTTGATATATATGCACAGTATGTATTCTTGAGCTTGCCTAGTATTAATGACACAGTTTTGACTATTTTCTATCTAAATATTACAATACTTTTCAATACAATTCAATATTATTTATGTTATTGAAACCCAGTTAGCCCATAGAAAATGCCAGAATTTTTAGTAATAAACATTGACCTTATTTATTTAAATAAAAAATAATACAAATTTCAACATTGATCAATTAAATATTATCTCGTAAAAATATTAGGTCAATAATCTATCTCTCTCTCTTACTTTTATAAAGTTCATTTATAGTATTATGTAATATTATATCATGTATATGTATATATAATAATTTTATTACAATTTGTAATACATAAAAGTGGGTCAAAAATTTTACTGTCCCTTTTCAAAGTCCATTTGTGTACACTTTTCAACTTTTATACATTATATTATATTATATATAGCATCTAAATATTCTTTTACAATTTTTAATACATTAAAGTGGGTCAAGAGACTTTCTCTTTGTCTCTTTTAAAGTTCACAATAATGTACTCTTTTGAACTTTTACACTATATTATGTTACATCCATATATATATGTAAAATATCTACAAAATTTGTTGACAATTTGTAATTTAAAAAAAATTGGGTTAGAAATTATTTTTTGTTTCTGAAATAATTGTTTTACATTTGTACGTATAATACTCTTTATTCTAGCTTTCGTAATACATTAAATTATTGTTTGAACATTAATAATGATAAAAAAAAAAGAATTTGTTTACTCCGAGATATTTAATATCAAAGTAGCATTTTACTTTTCTGTTTCACAGGGCACACCGACTACCTACGTGGATGCATGGCTGACATAATCTACAACGGTGCAAGAGTAATAGAGTACGCGAGGTCTAGAAGGGGCCAATCCGATGCAACCGCAGTTACGTGGGGATGTTCACCGGAATTTGACGCCACATGGAGCACGGAAGTGAGCTTCGTCGAGGATGGTGCCTTTACGGCGATTCCACGAGCTATACCTCGTTCCGGATCTAGGTAAGAACTATTAAACGCGTTTCTAACCTTGCTCTTAAGTATTCCAATACAAATACTATTATTTATAATAACGTAATTTAAATATCTTTTTTTGTTTAATTTTATAAAACTGATTTATCAAATGAATATTCTAATTGCTTGTAAAAAGTAAAACATAAATTCAAGAACAAGTATATGAATATTTAGACAGTAATATAGTAAGAGATCATTTCTAGTTCTTTATTTATGTATACATTTGAATATCTAATTCATATGTAATCCAAGAAATAAGAAACTAGTCAGGATTATATGCAAATAAGTAGTTAATTCAAAGTTTCAAACAATTTAGCATATTAAACAACTCAACGAGAACATGCGCACATAGTTCTTATTACATTAAACAGTAAAATGCGAGAAAAACATCCCCATTAAAGATTAAATTTGAAAAATGTCTTTCGATTAGATTTCGACAAGTATTCAACACGTATTCAACATGTCGAGCAAAAGGGAAAGATCAACATAATGTTAAAAGATCGAAAATCATTAGAAAATCAATCACTTGTCTAGACAGGAAAGAGATAATCCAGAGTATACAATCAACGAATAGAAAGACGACAGCATCGAGTTTCCCTTTGACGCAAGAATCACGCCCTTTCAAAGTTAGAAGCTATCGCTTAACCTTCGCTCTTCAAATCTTTATGCTCTTTACCACTTGAACAGAACATTTAACCGCTTTTTTCCCTTTTTTTTTCCACTGAAGTACATCAACGTAGCAGTACCTACCTATCTACATACCTTCCTACCTACCTACCTACCTACCTACCTACCTACCTACCTACCTACCTACCTACCTACCTACCTACCTCTTCGAAAGCATTAATTCGAGATTTCGTTTAGCGAGAGAAACGTAAAAAAAAGGGCGACCTAAAAAAGAACTTCGTCGTTAGCTTGTAAAAAATTTGCAAAAGAAGAATGTCACCGACTAAAGCAACTGCTTTCTTTCTAACGAGGTGCTATGCTATTTTCTATTTCTTTTCTTTTCTTTCCTTGGATATACATTTTTGTTCTCTTTATTTTTTTCTTATCTCGTTCGTAGTAGTACCTGCCTAGACATTTTCTCTGTAAGGTCATCTTTCATTAAATATAGAAAACGCGCACACGTAGATATTGCAGTTGTATATCTTTTTCCAAGTAAATAGGAAATTTCAGTATTACCACATCGAGAAATGTTTCACTAGTATCTTCCAGATCCAGTTGTTCTCGAGTAAATAGTACGTGGTCAATCATGTTAGCACGTGTAGATTATAATAAACAACAGAACCATAGAGAGAGAGAGAGAGAGAGAGAGAAAGAGAGACATTGAAATTTCTCGTGCGATCGAATTAGTATAACAAGATAAAGATAGATAGAGAGAGAGAGAGAGAAAGAGAAAATCAAATGAAAACGATACCTGAATATAGAATTTCATGATTATGAAATAAACTTTATATTACCATAGAGAAGAAAATATTTATACGAGCGTTGATTTCAATAGTTGCTCTACACTAAAATGTAAATTAAACGGACATTTCGTTAAAGTTAGAATAGTTAGAAATCCGTTCTACTAACGAATATGTATACAAGTAGACGTGTGTGCTTGTAAGTATGTAGTTCTAATACGTATTCAGGTCAGAGGAACCCTTTCATATTACACTCCTGGTATCTTCTCTTCGCATAGCTTTTAACGACGAAGCTTTCCGAGGCAAATGTCGTTAAACCATCTCGGAAAGCTCGAAACAACTGCCACAATCGTGTTACGAACGTTGCAGGGTCCTCTGATACTCTTAAATGTTGTTTCGTGTTTCTTAAATGAAGAAGAACTCTTTCATTTTTAACAGAGACTTTTTTGATCGACTCATTTATTCTTTGTTTGTATAATTAATTCTATTGAAAAATGTAATAACCATGAATCGAGTTTTCTTATTCTCGAACCTTTTTTATTCCTATCTCTTTTTCTACACCGCCGAGTGAAATTATTCGATATTGGAATTGTAGAAGCGAAGAAGAACGTAACATATGTACAAAGAGGAAGCACCAATCGTATCGTTTTAACTCGAGAAAGAGAAAGAGGAATGAACATTTTATGGAGCCGATATGAACACTTTCCTCTTCCTTTCCTAATGGATGGACCAAAACGTTCCTTTCCGGAATAAATGTGAGAGTCATGGTAATCGTCCACCAAATTCTACCATTGGGATATATTTATTTGGCCCATTCGCGCGTTCTTCCTTCCGTATGTATAATCTAGTAGCAGAGAACAAAGAGATAAAAAGGAAGAAAAGAAAATAAAGAAATAGAGTCGAGCAACCCACCACCACCATCACCACCACCACCAAAAGCTACACCAACCAACGCCATTATTGCTATCTCGACTGCTATTCAATGGGATAAAAAATATTTTAAATAAAAAAATAACAAGTTAAAAATAAAGTGAGTTTTATGGTGTTTCCGCTTATATGTAAATAGAGAGAATTTATTAACATTGCCGACAAGCATAGACCACGATAATAATATGGCGACACTCTCAGCTTTTCTTTAAAAGATAACTTATGAGATGCAATATTTACACGAAAGGAACACAATCTCGTTCATGCGCTAATGAAGAAACTTTAGAATTTACAACGAGCCATGTATCTCTTTCTCTCTCTCTTTCCGTATCTGCGGTCTTGCCATTATTACGATCGTTTCGATAGAAACTAAAGGGTTTTGCTTTAAAAAGGATAAAACGAAGTTATAACAACGTAACATAAGCCGGAAATTATTTTAAACAAAGAGAAGAAAAGATTACGTGGAGGGTTGAAATTACTTGGCAAACATTTAACTGGATGAGATAAAAACGTAAAGAAGATTGGATCCAAGTGATCATGTATATATCGTATATTTATATAAAAAAAAAATTATAATATTGTTCATTATTAACAATATAATCAATAATACATTAGATTTACATTAATATTGAAATGAAATATTAATTTTATTAACGGTATGAATGCTTTGTTAATTTGAACCAACACATTTGCAAATCTGTATCTCTTCAATTATTGAAATTTATTTAATTACATCATAATGAAATTTATATAATTTTTTTTCTATCAAGTAAGTATCCACATATTAAAGTAATAGTTAAATCGATAAAATGTTTAAATATGAAATTTCTGACTAATATTTGATGTATTATACGATTAGAGAAAGGTTGAAAGACTGGAAACGTTTTAGTCAAGTTTCCGGTTGAACTTAACGACTTCTCAGGGGATTATCAGCCATTTTGAATCAATTAGGAGAGACGAGGCGCCATTTCTCGCGGTTTTAGCACGGTAAAACGATACGATCGTTGCTAATTCGTAGTCGAATTATAGGGAAACGCATGTGGCATTAATGTAGCAACCGTTGAATTTCGCAATACCGTACGAATACTATCTACCATGAAGCGTATGCGTCAACCATAATGGACGATCGTAGTAATTAATGCCTACTACAATTTTAAGCGGCTTACAACTAAAATACAATTGCTTATATGTCAAACTAACTTACAATTAGATCGCATTAAAACTATACAGTGGATCAAATAAGTATTGGCACACCACAATTTTTGTAAATATATTTGATTATTGAAGGAAATGGTTTGAATTTGCAAAAGTGTACTTTTTTCCATCTGATTTTCCATCCATTTTCCATCCATTTCTTTCCATCTGATTAGAATAAATTAAACTTACTTTCATCAGAAAATATGACATTTTTCCAAAATTCTATGTCTTTATTTACTTACACTTTTGTAAATACAAGCCGTTTTTGTCTATTCACTTCATTGATGAACGGCTTCTTGCTCGCAGTTCAGCCGTATATATGAGCCGAATGTATAACTTTTCGAATTGTTTGTGGATTCACTGTCTTTCCCCAGTGTGTTGCGATATCAACGGACAATCTATGAACACTTACAAATAGATTTTTTCCAATTTGTTTAATGATATCGCGCCGCTCCCTCATTGTTAATATTTTCGCTCGGCCTGACCGTGGTCTATTTTCAGTAGTGCCAAATCGCTCACATTTTTTTATTATATTTCTTACACTCAAAAAACTAATTTTTAAAGTTTCTCCAATTTGGCGATAACTGTCGCCCCTTTTACGAAGAAAAATAATTTCATTTCGCACCACAGTCGACAGCTCTTTTGTCTTTCCAACCATGTTTCCTTTGTAGAATAAATATTGAAACTAAATACTTGTATCGAACGCAGAAACCAAGATAATATGTTAATTTACATTTGTGTTCTTAGAAATGGTATAAGAAATGTCTGAAAAAGAGAAACTGAAAACCTACGATTACAGAGGTTACTGTGCCAATACTTTTTTGACTATAAAATTTTTGTTATTTCTTTTTATAATTTTTGCTATTATTATTATTAAGTAATATACTTAGGTATACAACTAATGTACATTAAAATACATAAAATGACATATATGGTGTCAGCAATATCCTTCAATAATCAAAGATATTTACAAAAATTGTGGTGTGCCAATACTTATTTGATCCACTGTATATGTATGACGAGTTTTTTATTAGAATATAAAAAGAAAATATTTCATTTGGATAAATATGAAATGGATTTATATTATGTTTCTTTGTGAAACATGATAAATTTTATGAAATATTTTCCCTTACATAATATTGTTTTAGACGAAAAACTTGAAAACATGAAACCAAGTACAACTGTACATTTCATTATTCACAACGGCATCAAATATTACTCTTTTTACACCCATTTGTCGTATATCAAATCTATTCATTTTAAAAGAACCATTAATATTTTCTACTGTTATTCCAAAGTCTCTCTTATTAAACGTATGTAACTCTAGTTTTGTATGCAACTTCGTAGTTGGATTTTTATGTTAAACTTTCTATTCCAATTTATTCTACTACTTTCGAATCTGACGATAAAATTAATCTTCTTAACTGGAGTATCTAGTTTTTTGCATTGAAAAACAAT